CGACTGAGCCACCCAGGCGCCCCACATTTAGAAGTTTTTTGAAGGCTTTAAAAAAAACAAGCCAGATGAATAATTTTAGGATTACATACCCAAAGCAGAACAATTGCTTTTACAATTTACAAAGCATATTACGTGGTCTGTCTCCTGAAGGATTAAATACAGAATTTTTTTTTTTAAAAGATTTTATTTATTTGATAGAGGGTGAGAGAGCACAAGCAGGGGGAGCAGGAGAGGGAGAGGGAGAAGCAGACTCCCCACTGAGCCGGGAGCCCGATGTGGGGCTCAATCCCAGGACCCTGGGATCATGACCTGAGCTGAAGGCAGACGCTTAACCATCGGAGCCACCCAGGCGCCCTGGAGGATTAAATATAAAGAGATTGGTACAGGTGTTCCTATAGTTCCTAGAAAAAAACGTGGGTAGCAGTCAAAAAGGTTGATCAAGAAAAGAAAGATTTTTTCTTCATTTCCTTCCAGTTTGTGTGTCGGTTTATATGTATATGTTAGAATTCTGTGGATTGTATTGTTTTCTGGGTGATTATTCTTTAGCCTGTCCTTAACTGATGGTCACTCTAAGAAGGTAATTAAAGTTACATGACTCTTTGTTCTAACGTAAGAAACGTAGTGTTGTTTCATACTGGTTAGAATCTAGAATCAGTTGGTTTTGAGAAATCTTGACTTTCGAGGAAGTGAAGTTTCATGATAGTTAGCTAATTTTTATATCTGCCCCCAAATCCTTTTTTGACAGAAGGGACATCTTGCATTATGTAATTATAAGTGGAGCATCAGAAACCAATTTTAACAAGTAATCCCTTCCTCTAAACATTTTCTTCCTCAGGAGATAAGACTTCCCAGAGGTTACTGGAAGAGAGCTGTCATCTTCTGTTCATAGCTGTTCCGTAGTTACTATCCCTGCTCTAAGTTCTGTCATTTGGGGTGTTTTTACTGTTGCTGTTATCTTGCAAATGGCTAAGTCCATGAAGACCATGTTAAACATTTTTACACAGATAATACTAAACATGGAAAATGTGTACTTTTACTTTTAGTCACAAACATGCGAATCAGGAACTTGGAAGAAAGGTTTGTAGGACCAGACTAACCCAAAATACCTAGATTAAATGTCTGCCATACAACTTGATTCCTCTTTCCTCCCCAGGTTCACCCCCATTTCTCGGGGTGGGACTTGTCACCTTGAAGCTGAGTTGAGTGTAGATCTCAGTTAACGTTCCTTTGAAGTCACAAGGATGTAGACTTAACGGGACAAGATGCTCATCTCTGCGTTAGACCGCACAGCAGGCGAGGGTTAGCGAGCCGTCCCATCCATCCCATATGGTCAGTCCTGCAGACTTCCTGACCGTCTCTTTCTCATTAAGACTCCAGCGTATTTAAGGGCGCCTGGGTGGCTCAGT